TATAGTGGAGACTCACAAGTCTCCCTGTCTCCATTCTAAATCCGTGTGGAAGATATGCGGGGACTGAAAGATTGAGTAGTAATTGCCTCTGGGGTTTGACCTTTGGTGTCTGGGATATTGGTAATGGTTGAAAACTGAAGTAGGGGTGTTAGGGCAGACCGCTTACCTAAATGTTTATTGCTTTTTATAGAGGTCTGTGGACTTTGAAACAATTTATGACAATGGAACTGACCTTTTAAATTACACTGACCCCAGTTTCAGAGGGAGCAGAGGTACTTAATGTCTGCCTTAGGAAAATCAACTATCCACAGGCCATCCAGACCCCCAAATTCTTTCTTCACTGATCCCTCCAGCCCTTTTCATTATCTGAAGAGAGAGACTGAGACAGGAATGTCAATTAGATCTATGGAGAATTAATAAGTACATTTACAAAGATTGTATGGTTATAATGTAATTACTTTGTTTATAATAAGTGTGAAGCACTGACTTAAGTTATATTTACATTGTGGCTTTTCAGGAAAATGACATCAGATGTTAGCATCTAAAATACTTGTCAGCACTATGCCTTTTTCGAATGAGTAGTGTTGTGATATATTCTCATTTTTGGTGTCACAATCTACACTGAACACAGTCCTTTAACAGGAAAGATTCAGACATTATAGTTATGTAGAGAATAAAATGGGAAAGTATTAATGCTTCCTATCTCCAAATTACCCCCCCAGAATCACCCAGAATCAAATCAATAGCTTAGTGTATATCCTTCTCTTGATCTTTATAAGCTTTTGTATCTATATATTTGTTTTGTTTTAACAAAAATTTGATTATACTATATAGTTTTCCAACTTGCTTTTTAAATTTAAGGCATTTAAATTTACCACATTATATTTTTAAAATAGATTGCTTCCATTGAGATTACCATATGATTTTCTTTTGTCAGTGTCGTGAATTACATTAAAATATTTCTTAATTTGGAACCATTCTAACTTTTGCTTAATAAGACCTATTCATATATTGTGTATTAATTCTTTTAATATATGAATGAATTCAAATTGCTAATATTTTATTGCTATTTTGCACATCTATGTTTTTTAAGTGAAATGGGCCTATATATTTTTGTTTACTTGTTTATTTGGACTGCCTTTTTTCAGTTTGTTACCAGAACATTCTAGTTTACAATTACTGCTTTTGTTTTTATTATCTTACACACTTTTTGTGGGTTTATTTTGTACTTTTCTAGTGTCTTGGGTTGTACATTGAACTGTTCATGATCCATGACATTTGATTTGCTTTTCTTTCCCTCATCTGTCTTCTCCTTTCTCCTTCTGGAGTGTTCTTAGTTGAGTGCTGCTGTCTGAGTCTGTCAGTCACTTCACCTACTCTTTCTTTCATATTTTCCATTTCTTTATTTTTTTATATTATTTTCTGGGATAATTGAAATTTGATTTTTAAAGTTTTTTTTCATAACACTTCTCTTTCATTGTTTTCTTTTGTAATTCAGTTCAAATATTAAGGAGCTTTAAATCTTGTTGTTCTAAATCTTAACATTACACATTCCTCATTGTTTTTTTTTAAATGGAAATGATATGGTTTGACTCTGTGTCCCCACCCAAATCTCACCTTGAATTTTAATACTCCCAATGTGTCAAGGGGCCAGGTGGAGATAATTGAATTGTGGGGCGGTTTCCCCCATACTGTTCTTATGGTAGTGAATAAGTCTCATGAGATCTGATGGTTTTATAAAGGGGAGTTCCCCTGCACAAGCTCTCTTGCCTGCCACCATGTAAGACATCCCATTGTACTTCCTTCATCTTCCACCATGATTGTGAGGCCTCCCCAGCTATTTGGAACTGTGAGTCCATTAAATGTCTTTCCTTTACAAATTACACAGTCTTGGGAATGTCTTTATTAGCAGCATGAGAACTGACTAATACAGTAAACTGGTACCAGGTAGTGGGGTGTTGCTGTAAAGATACCTGAAAATGTGGACATGACTTTGGAATTGGGTAACAGGCTGAGGTTGGAACAGTTTGAAGGACTCAGAAGAGGACAGGAAGATGTGGGAAAGTTTGGAACTTCCTTGAGACTTGTTGAATGACTTTGACCAAATGCTGCTTGTCTCAGATGGAGATGAGGAACTTGTTGGGAACTAGAATAAAGGTGATTCTTGCTATGTTTTATCAAAGAGACTGGTGGCATTTCACCTCTGCCCTAGAGATCTGTGGAACTTTGAACTTGAGAGAGATGATTTAGGGTATCTGGCAGAAGAAATTTCTAAGCAGCAAAGTGTTCAAGAGGTAACTTGGGTGCTATTAAAGGCATTCAGCTTATGTATTCACAAAGATATGGTTTGGAATTAGAACTTACGTTTAAAAGGAAAGCAGAGCATAAAAGTTCAGAAAATTTGCAGCCTGATGATGCAATAGAAAAGAAAAGCCTATTTTCTGAGGAGAAATTCAAGCCAGCTACAGAAATTTGCATAAGTAACAAGGAGCCAAATATTAATTGCCAAGACAATGGGGAAATATCTCCAGGGCATGTCAGAGGTCTTCACAGCAGCTCCTCCCATCACAGGCAAGGAGGCCCAGGAGGGAAAAATGGTTTCATGGGCTGGGCCCAGGATCCCCCTGCTGTGTGCAGCCTAGGGACTTGGTATTCTGTGTCCCAGCAGCTCCAGCCATGGCTAAAAGGGGCCAAGGTACAGCTCAGGCCGTGGCTTCAGAGTGTGTAAGCCCCAAGTCTTGGCTGCTTCTACATGGTATTGAGCCCGTGGGTGCACAGAAGTCAAGAATCGAGGTATAGGAACCTCTACCTAGATTTCAGAGGATGTGTGGAAATGCCTGGATGTCCAGGCACAAGTTTTCTGCATGGGTAGAATCCTTATGGAGATCCTCTGCTAGGGCAGTGTGGAAGGGAAATGTGGGGTCAGAGTCCCCACACAGAGTCTCCACTGGGGCGCAGCCTAGTGAAGTTGTGAGAAGAGGGCCACTGTCCTCCAACACCTAGAATGGTAGATCCACTGACAGCTTGCAGTGTGTGCCTGGAAAAGCCACAGACACTCAATGCCAGCTCATTAAAGCAGCCAGGAAGGTGGCTGTACCTGCAGAGCCACGGACACAGAGCTGCTCAAGGCTGTGGGAGCCCACCTCTCACATCAGCATGACCTGGATGTGAGAAATGGAGTCAAAGGAGATTATTTCAGAGCTTTAGGCTTTGACTGCCGTGTTGGATTTCAGACTTGCATGGGGCCTGTAACCCCTTCATTTTGATCAATTTCTCCATTTGGAATGGGTATATTTACCCAATGCCTATACCCCATTGTATCTAGGAAGAAACTGATTGCTTTTGATTGTACAGCCTCATAGGCTAAAGAGACTTGCCTTGTCTCAGATAAGAATTTGTACTTGTATTTTTGGATTAACACTGGAATGAGTTAAAACTTTAAGGGACTATTGGAAAGGCATGATTACGTTTTGAAATGTGAGGACATGAGATCTGAGAGGGGCCAGGTGCAGAATGACATGATTTGACTCTGTGTCCCCACCTAAATCTCACCTTGAATTGTAATGGAACTTCAATTGTAGTTGTAATTATAACTGAAATTCAATTGTAGGCCAGGCACAATGACTCACGTCGGTAATCCCAGCACTTTGGGAGGCTGAGGTGGGTGGATCACCTGAAGTCAGGAGTTCAAGACTAGCCTGGCCAACATGGTGAAACCCTGTCTCTACTAAAAATACAAAACTTAGCCAGGTGTGGTGGTGGAAGCCTGTAATCCCAGCTACTTGTGAGACTGAGGCAGTAGAATCACTTGAACTCAGGAGGTGAAGATTGCAGTGAGCCGAGACTGCACCATTGCACTCCAGACTGGGCAACAAGAATGAAACTCTGTCTCAAAAAAAAAAAAAAAAAAGAAAGAAAGAAATTCAATTGTAATTGAATTTCTGAATTGCCACACTGCATTTTATTTTGCTGTGTTATAAACAGATTTGTAATTTTTTTCTTAAAATCACTTCTGTCATTTCATGTAAGTTTAGTTAGGTGAGGAAGGTGAATGCCTATGTTTATTCTAACACATTGGTCTCAGTTGCCATTTGTTTTATTTATCATAACAAAATAATTTTATGTAAATTAATGTGAAAATTATAAGACCTTTACAAAATAAATCTTGCTAAATAACACCAAAAAATATTTATAATCAAGCCACTCTGAGAAAGAACCACATGTGATTTGTTTTTGCCTTGGACATAGTAGAGACATTGTGAATTTCTATATTGCCCTCTGTCCTAGTTTTATTTTAATCATCTCTAATTTTCTTAGCTTCCCTTTGCTTACTTTTTGGAAATGCATTTCTTTTTTTGCTGTGTTGTTAGCCACTTGCATGACTCTTTCTCATGGGAAAGTCCAAACTTCTTGGTCTGGCGTCCAACCCACTCCTGATAAAAATACTATGTGATTTCCAGCTTCATTCTCATACTCAATGTTTTCAGCACAAGAAATGTGTGGTTTTTCTGAGTCTGCCATGCATTGCTGCCTTCTCCGCTGGGAATACTGTTGCTCTGTCTAACCTCCCCTAGTGCTTCATGACGGGACTTACCTTTCACTTACCTGCAAGCTCTCCCTACCCCACTCCAAGCCTACTAGGCTGGGTACAGTGACCGTGTGTTCCCTCAGCTCCTGGACACACTTGGTGGAGATCTCATATCATCATGCTGTATGTAATTGCTTTTCTAATTGTATGGATTTGCCACTAGACAGTAAGTTTGCTGAGGGCACAGGCTCTGTCTTGTTTATCTGTATTATCAGTTCCATGTCTGGTAGATAATAAACATATATTGGACAGTTGGATAGATGCATGAATAAATAAAGAACAAATAAATTAGTGAATATAATTATAACCTATCTTAAATTCTCCTTGGAATAAAATGGATTATAAATAAATAGACAGGTAATACTTTCCTTCCCTCAGTTTATATACTGCTAACTCTGTGTCATTGTTACAGGATATCTGCAGATGGCAATATAAGTGCTGCTGGTCACCTGTGGAGGATGCCAATGTCCCTAGGTGCTTCTTCCCCTGTAACTGGGGCTATGAAGCCAGCAATGGCCATACAAATACAAGCACAGGTGAGCACTGCCCTGATGTTGTGCCTGGGAACAACTCCTCATGGCCCAGATACATCAACTGCAAAGTAAAATAAAAGGTAAAAGTCAGGCGGGCACGGTGGCTCACGCCTGTAATCCAAGCACTTTGAGAGGCCGA